TTGACTCTCCAACCCATACTTCTTAAGGAAAAGTGAAGTAGTTCCAGAACCTAAATCACAACCGTGAATAAAATGAAAATTATCCCGTGTGCAAACCACGGTTATATTTTAAAGTTTGTAATAAAAGAAGAGAAGAATAACGTGAGAAACATTTAAAAATTACAGTATATTACTTTGACCTGTAAATGATAGATAAATGATTAAAAATTGGATATTCGAATTGCATAACTTACTTTAAAATAATAATTACGTATCAAAATAACATTGCAATTTTAAGTGGATTAACAGAAAAGAATTCCATGTTGCCAAATCCAAAAAGGTAACTTGTATGGCACAAGAAAGGAACAAGTGCGCAACGTTTTCCTCTGCAAGACTAAGTAAACATAGCTACGTATAAAAATATTAAAGAGCTGCCATAACATAAGTTTTATTAAAGGGCGAACGAACATGCACCCACCCAAGGTTTAAGGTAAAAGACAATGTGGTACCCAGATAGTTTTGAAAAGACAAACAAGTATTTTCTGCCATTCTCTATTAGGATTTCCGTCTACTAAGAGGTAATACTGCTTAAAGACTGAATACCCCTTAAAATTTTGCCATGGCAATTAATAATTTTTTTTTTCTTCTTGGTCGTTCTGGTTTTCCATTTCTTCTTCTCCATCATTCTTTTTTTCTTCTCCATTGGTCTCTGTTTGATGAAATAGATTGTCAAAATTGCTCTTTTTCTTTTTTCCTTCTTCCCCTCCCTGTTCTGAAATCTTCATTAATCGATAAATTTCATTACAAATCCATAAAAAGCCGACAAACAAACCCTAAAACTAACCACCGAAACCATACAGGAGTCCGACACCCCGCCATTGCCGAACTCATTGTTGACGCTGTCACCCCTCGCCGAACGTCGTCACCCCTCACCAGATGCTGAATCGCTGGCTTCTTGACCCCCAAATGTTATCTCTTTTTCGCTCCCCTCTTTTCCCAATCCCTTGCCTCCCTTTCCTCTTCCTGCCATTTTTGTTTTTTCTTTTGTTTTCTTTTTTCCTTACTCTTTGTTTGGATGTTTGTTGCATTTGGTGAAAGACTGATAACAGGGAGAGAGAAGCAGTGTGGTGAGAGACGACGTGCTGAGAGAGAAGCTGTGGCTTTGCCAGAAAAAGTGTGAGTGACCACACCAAAGAAGAAGGCAAGACAGATGGGTTTGAAAGAGATTATTCAATTAAGCCACAGACTTCTCCTCAACCGTGCATTAATAAGAGAGGCAGACTAACTCTATATACACACATCTTTCTTTCTTGCCTCATTCTGTATAAAAAATATCTACTCGTGGAGGGAGTGATCATCTTGTCCTTGGCTTTTGAATGGAAGAGAGGCTACAGGTTCTGATTTGAAAAGCACACAAACGAAATGCCATCCCTTTGGAGAAGAGGAATGTTTATGATGGTGACAGGGTATCTGAGGCTTTCCTCCTAAAGCCAATTATTTGTTTTTAGGGGACTATGTGGATCGTGAGCACGAGTTTGGAAACAATAGTCTTTAATTGCATATAAGATTAAGTATCCGGAGAACTTTTTTCTTCTACGAGGAAACCATGAATGTGCTTCTATTAATAGGATATATGATGTTTTACGATGAGTGCAAACGGCGTTTTAATGTGAGACTTTGGAAAGCCTTTACTGACTGTTTCACCTGCCTTCTGTGGCAGCTCTTTAGATGAAAAATATTGTGCATGCATGGTGGTCTTTCTCCTGACCTGTCAATCTTGGCAAATTAGAAACCTTACTCGCTAACTGCTGTTCTTGACAAATGGTTTACTTTGTGATTTGCTCTGGTCGGATCCTGGAAGAGATGTTTAAGGATGGGGATGAATGACAGAGTATTTCATACACCTTCGGAGTTGACAAGGTGTCAGAATTCTTGAAAAAGCATGATTTGGACCTAGTATGTCGTGCCCACGGTGGTTGGCTTTTCTATCTACTATTCTTTTCAGTTTCTTTTTGGGTAGAAAGGTGCCTTGCCTCTGCTAATTATTTTTTTTCTTATTATAGGTTTGTGGAGGATGATACAAATTCTTTGCCGACAGGCAACTGTTACCAAATTTTCAGCTCCTAACTAGTGTGGTGTGAGTTTTGAATAGGCTGGTGCAATGAGTGAGATATTGAGGAGACATGGTGTTCTTTCCGAATTCTTAGCCGGCACAGAAAAAGCTAAGTTTTCAACTCTAAGAAGGCACGCTTTGTTGTCTTAAGGAGGTCACTTTTACTATTAACCCAAACAAGGGTCTTCAAGAGACAACACAGGTTTCAAATCGCGAACCAGAGAATATCTCTTCTGCAAGAGCCACTCACAGCTCATCTCCTTGCCACCGAAGCATGAAGCAAAAAGAACAGAAGTATGTTACTCATTGGGTTTACACCGTCAGCATGTTGGTTTGTGAATGTATTTTCCCTTCACTCGTCGCAAACAGTTTTCATAACTCCGTCATGGTCGTCGCTTACAATCGTCCTCCCTTGTCGCCGGTTCATGTTTCACTGGTTGTCGTCGATGGTTTCGTTTAGGTCGTCGTTGATAGTTTGCCGTTCAGTTGCTCAAAGCCCTCAAACTCTAACAAAACACAAAGCCACGACAACGAAAAGCCAATAGACTTTTCTTTTATTCTTCTTTTTTATTCAATGTTAATTGTTAAGGACACATTCCAGCTCCCAATGAATATTCCAAAAGAAGCTTCTTCCATTAATCGAGAAAGATAATTAAAATTTCAAATTTGACTGCTCTACGTATAATTACATATTACCTTTAATAGACAGAAATTTTTACAGTGAATGACGGAAAGAATTTGTTTGCCTTTTCCAAACTATTTGGGTATCACTTGTCTTTATTTTCAAACCTTGGATGGGTGTATGTCGTTCAGCCTGTATTAAAACACGCAAAACTGCCTCATCACACTCCCATAGTCCATTCTTTTCCTTCCGTGCCACCATGGCAGATACAGAAATTTCACTCAGATGGTAAAAAAATAACAATAAAAACCCAATTATATATATATATATATATATATATATATAGTATATTAGTATATATATATATATAATATATATATATATATTTTTAAACAATAGATATCAATAAAAAGTTATAAAATACAAATAAATATCTTCAAAAAACACAATTTTTGTAAAAATAAAACAATTTTTTCTATAATTGTGCTCAATGAGTTTTCATATTTATAATTGTATCAAATACATATTTCTCAGTATATGTGACCAAGCAATCGTTTATCTATTAATCTCCCATTCGTTTGCGTAGCTGACTTTTCACAAGATTCATTGCTAAAAAAGCCATTTCAATGGTCGCAGTCTCACAAGCTTATACACCAACAAATGCAAAATATCTTTTTTAAACCGAACTAAATTTTTAACCAAATCACCAATTCCTTGTAACTCAGCAAATTCATTACAAGAATGCATGTCAATAACATAATTCTCAGTCTGGTTCTCAAGTACCATCAACACAAGTGCAGAAAAATTATATGGATAAAACTAGGTAAAACGGATCAACTTATGCTTATCAAAAGCAGAGAATGAATTTCTTGGATCTAAACATGTCATATAAAGAAGCAGCTCAATACTAACCTCGGTGAAACGAGCGTTAAGTTTTTTAAGTTGCATATCTATCACTGTATAAAACAATTCAACTCGATAATGATGCAAATTTGTCATGTGCTCAACTATTTATTGTAGCCGCCTTCGAATTGCAAACATATAATTTATATTCAAAATGGCAATATCATGCTTTTGGCAAAATAAAGAAACTTCATTCAACAAAGATTCTCATCTTTCATCTCTTAACAATTGTGATCGTTGTTTGGAGGCTTTGACTAGGGCCATAATATTTACAATGTTTTGATCTTTTCTTTATAATGTTTGTGAGAACTCATTAGTAATTGTCAATATACCTTTCATCATATGCAAGCTAAATGCAAAATCAAAGGAATAGATTAAATCTAATAGATTACATGCTTCACCCCTTTGTTTAGGATTTAAACCATCTTCTTTAATAATCTCAAGCACATCACCCACATAGGAGAACAAAATGATTAAGTTGATAAGTTTTCTATTGTAAAAATGTCCAGATTTCTCTTTTCAGTTACGTGCAAACCCAACAACTCTTATTCCTTTCATTTTCACTTTTAATAAAACTTTTAAAAACTAACAGATCTTCTTAAAAAAAAAAAAAAAAAAATCACAAAGAATATGTAATAGATATATTAGGATTAAAAACTAGGTTTTACAAAAACAAAATCCAAACTCACCGTGGGAGTCCGGACTGTCAAAATCTCAAAGTTTTATAGTAGTAAAATTTAAATAAATATAAATATAAAAATAAAATCCGAAATTTTAAAAAAATTGAGTGCGCGTCATTCATTAAATGCGCCCCTGCCTGCCACAACCCCCATCCCCATATCTCCATCTGTAACGAGGGCTCCGTCTCACTGTCACCCTCACCCTCTCTTATCCAAGTCGTAGATATTTCTCCATCCACACTTGTAGAAAATGACCTCCCAACCCTACACACTACTTATCTCATGTCGTCATTAGACCCATTATTAGAAATTGCATGTGTAAAATATGGATTTGTTAATCACAAAGGAGATACAGAAATTGTTTGGGATTGAGTCGTTGGCCTGGTGTATTGTTATGCCTTAGCCCTTTAGATAAAACCAAGGCACTTTAGACATATTTCCAAATGTGATACGCTGAACCTGCCTGACAAAATTACAGGATTCTTATATTAATCCAGATATTTCAGCGCAAGAGAATCTAGTAACATTTTGAAACATATCCACAAAAACATACATTTGGCTTCGATGTAAGCAGAAATACACAGCATCACTGAGTTTTAATATTAATGAGATTAGCAGTTGCAAGCTACCCTTTGATCTAATGTATGACCACACCAATGTAGCATATTAGTTTTTATCTGACTAACCATACAATCTCAACAAGTTTCTGTAAATTGTTTCCATTATAGGACGTTCTTAAACAATCATAATTGAACAAATAACTGACAACGGTCAGATTTCTGGAACAAGAAGAGAAGCATGGAAACTACCAAGTGACTCTTATAGTTTCAAGTCACAGAGTCATTTGCTAACTTGAATACATTGCAGAGGAATACAGCAGTTTGGAAAAGGTCAGACGCCCTTTCTCGCTTTATTAAACTATATTCCTGATTCAGCAGTCTCAGCTGCTTTGACTTCCATCAGGCACTGTGACACATGTGGCTTGAGCTGCATGCACGAAGAGCAATTCGTATCAACCATTACATGAAATGAAAATAAACTTTCATCAAAGTAAATATTCAATAGCTATTAACATGAGAGCTCAAATCATTTGCTGGAAACAAAATAGCCATTTCTAAAGGTAGCAGTGTCAAATATGCAACTACCTTTTCTAGGCCATTCTTAGAATAGAGGTCCATTCAGAACTAGGTCAGATTTAGATGTCCAATTATCCTTTCAAAATAGGTAATGTTAGCATATTAGATCCTCCCTCAGAAACCTAATTCAAGAGAGAGGCAGGTAATTGCTCCACGTGTGCGGATTGGAGTTCCCTAATAACACAGCAACTAATTTGCAGACTGCATTATGTGGAGGAGGATGCCTTTGGTTGGTTTGATAATTGCTCAAAGTTTCAAGAAAATGAAGTCTAGGAGTTGAACTGATGGCACAAAAATCCATTTGACAGCTGAGATAGAACAATCATTGGCACAATCATTTAAGGAATTTCAGGGGAGGGAAATCCCTAGTGTTTCATGCGATCAGAGTCCAAACCCTCAATATGGCGTTCAAAGATTCCATACCTAATTCAAAACTTGAGGTAAACCTCAATGTGTGAGACATGAACCTCTTGATGCAAAACACAAGCTTTAGAAATTGAACCTCTAACGCTATGAACTACTGAAGAAAACTACCCATCCTTGCAAAGCATTTCTTGCTCTAAAACAAATTGAAGTTACAAGGCCTATGGAAAAGCTCCTGTCATGCATCTCCAACCCTAAGACCACATAAAAAAATTGAGGAAGTTCTTAAATTCTTGTAGGCAAATAGAAATGAAGAGGATAACTCAATCCTCTAAATCTTGTATGAAAAATATAATGAAACATCCGATAATTCCACCAACAACCGATTTTGCACCTATATCGCATACAAATCTTAATGCAACAGGAAAATAAATAAAAAGAAAGAACAGAATAGAATCTCACATCGAAGTCAGTCAAATCAGGAACCAAATAGTTTGGGCAGTTTCACTTGCACCACAACAGTGCCACTGCATTAATTGTCCAGTTAAATCAAAGCAGACGAAAACTATAAACGCGGTGAGCATGTAAAATTATAAGTTTTCATGAATTCTAATAACTTTTCAGTACATTTCATTGAACTCAAACAATTATCATCACTCTTCTAAATCCCTGGATTATCAAACAAACACATTTAAGCTGGAATGGAGAAATTGCAAATGGAAGTAAAAACAATCGAACCTTTGCGAGTATGGAAACCAGTTGGCTCGCAATTCTTTCCCTTGTAATAATCTCGCGGGCCGCGTTTCGACGAGCGAATGTCAAGTGATGATGTACTTTTCCTTCGCATTGCTCTCCCTATCCCTAATATAAGTCCCAAAGCCATTTTCTCCCCCCCTATTCACCCAAATCAACCGCTTTAATTAGCTTATATCAAATCAAAATCAATTTCGTATCAATCTTTCAACAGCTAAAATGAAACTAATCTATATGAAAATAGCAAAGAGATCATTAGTTAATTACTGCTTGCAAGCTTTGGCACAGCAGCGAAGCCAAACTAACTATAGCGCCGCTCAGAGGTAAGAGAGTTCAAGGGTTTTCCAGTTTCTGTTCTCCTTCCCCAGTGGAATTGGAAACCCAGAAAACAATAATTCATGACCCAAGAAAGCCCAACAATATTGGACTTCTATATCTAGTTTCTGCTCTACTTTTTCTGGTGCAGAGCCCATTACAAAAATAATTCATGACCAGCAAAGCCTAGTAGTGGTGGGCTTTTGTGGCGCAAAATCTATTGTGATGCTTTTCAAAGTAACACTAAAACAGTAAACATTATAAAATTTAGGCTGACTTACGCATACCCAAGGTTTGTCGAAACAATAAGTTGATACCTAGAAGATTTTGAAATGACAAACATATACCTTCCGTCATGTGCTGTTAGTGATTTATGTTTGTTCATAGTGAAAAGACTAAAATGCCCTTGAAAATTTGATATATTATTTTTTATAAATTTAAAAATTTCTAAAAAACCCCCATAGGTTTGCTAATTTAACTAAACACCCTCATATATAAAAAGTTTGTTAAATGACAAAAACACCCCCACCACCCTCAGTGCCAGATTCCCGCCACCACCGTCGGAAACTGGCCGGGAAATTGCCTTACAACACAGATCCATCGGATCTGTGTCGTAACATGTCGATCTGGCCGGAAAAGGCAGTAGATGGAGTTTTGCGGCCTCGACGGCCAGATCTGGCATTTTTCGGCCAGATCTGTGGCTGATATGGCGGGAAAATGCCAGATCTACAGCTAGATCTGGCAGTCGTGGCCACAAAACTTCTTCTGCGGTGTCGAGGGCCAGATCTGGCCATAGATCTGGCCTTTTCCAGCCAGATCAGCCACGGTTCTGGTCGAAAAAGGCCAGATCTACGGCTAGATCTGGCTGTCGTGGCCGTAAAACTTCATCTGCTGCGTCAATGGCCAGATCTGGCCGTAGATCTGGTCTTTTCCAGCCAGATCAACCACGGATCTGGTAAAAAATACCAGATCAATGCGTTACGACACAGATCCGACAAGGTTTGTGTCGTAACGCAATTTCCTGCCTGATTCCGGCGGTGGTGGCAGAATCTGGTACTGCAATTGGTGGGGGTGTTTTTGCCATTTAACAAACTTTTTATATATGGGGGTGTTTATTAAATTAGCAAACCTAGGGGGTTTTTAAAAATTTATAAAAAAACTAAAATATCAAACTTTCAAGGGCATTTTAGTCTTTTCACTATTAACAAACAGAAATCACTAACAGCATATGACGGAAGATACCTATTTGTAGTTTCAAAACTTTCAAGTACCAACTTATCATTATAGCAAATCTTGGGTATGCGCAAGTCGTTTGGCCTAAAATTTATAGGTTAAAATAATTGCAGGAAGCATTATTGGAACCCTACGTATTGTAACAGTCGTTTAGAATANTCCTTTGGAGGCTGTGTAGTGCGTTGTGTTACTTGTGTAGCTCTGGGCGCCGGCACGCAGTCTTTTTGTTCTTTCCTATCCGCGCTTTCGAACCTGCAAACTTAACTTGGGCTTCTTACATGTGAATCAAGCCCTCTGTTGGCTCCACTGTAGTAAATTGGGCTTTTACATATGGGTCAAGCCCACTCTGGTGCTTCCCCTAAAGTATACCTTAACCCGACTTGTCGGTTGTTACTTGATAGTACTTGTTACTGACAGAGGTTCAGAGAATACTTATCTATGATATATTTAGGAGTGTTCGGTTCCCAATACTCTGTATTTTTTTAAGGAACCAAAATCGACAGTTATTTAAAATTTAAAATCGGAATCAAAACCGAAGCCAATAGTTTCAGTTCCTAGGTACCTAGAACCATAACCTGTAACAATAGTTTCGGTTTTGATTCTGGGTACCCTGTAAAATTCGTGACTCTCAAAAGTTTTTAAAATAGCAAAAAAACCCATAAAAACTTACAAATAACACCCCACTTGGAACTTGTTAACAAAAATAAAATTACAAATTATAAATTAAAAATTAAAAACTCTATTACTTTGTAAAGATAGGTTCTCAGAAGTCAAATCAACTTATTTTAAATGTTATGAAATATAAATATAAATGTATTCACATCACTTTTTCTACAAAAGTTTTTATTAACCCCCCTACTCTTTAATTTTATTTTATATTAGTCTTGGTTCCCGGTTCTGGTTTCGGTTCCTAACTATAGAAACTGGAATTGGAATCGCACAGTAACGGTTCCAAAAATTTGGAATCGAAACCTACCCATTGATGACCGGTTCCGGGTAGGAACCGAAACCAAACCCCAAGTACCCGTCGATTCTAGTTTCAATCGGTTCTTTTGAACACCCCTAGATATATTGAAACTAAGAGATTACGTATGGTAATTAAGACAGTAATTAATTTTATTTCTAAATTATGACAAAATAATTTTCGTAGAGAAAAAAAAAAAAAAAAAGGATAAAATTGGTGGATCTGGGTCATCTAAGTGACGGGTTTGGTAACTCTTACGGGTCCAACTACTGCGAGAACAAGGAAGTCAGTAATGAAATGGTCAGGCCTGTAGGCTGTAAGGGTGTAATAATACATATAATACAGTCATGCATGCAATTCACCATTTATAGTTCTTCATTTACTAGATCTCGTAGCTGATTTAAACCCTAACCACTGTACCGATATCAGGCTTCTCGATCTACTCTTTTGCTCTTTCAGGTTTGATCCACTCTCTCCACTCGAATCTATTCTTCAACATTATTATGTCATCTAATTTTTGGTAAAATTTATTTTGTTAGAATCCTCTCCTTCTCAATTCTATAGAAATTGTCGAATTAGTGCTTTTTTTAATCTTAAATTTTGACTTAAACGTTGAAACGCTCGTAGTTACTGTTTGGAGTTGTCTCGAAAACAGCAACTTATTAGTTACAATGGTTAGTGATCTATGCGCAGGGAGTGGATCAACTGATTGGTGAAAATGCAGCGCATTCCAAATACAATTGAGGAACAGTTGATTTTGAAAGCTATCAATGAAGAATGTCCGTGGGAGAATCTCCCAAAAAGACTTCAAGCCACTCTTACTTCTAAAGAAGAGTGGCACAGAAGGTTAGAAAGTGGCTTTTACTTGTTAGTTTGTTTCATTTCATTAGCATAGTACTTGATCTTAGAAAGTCAAATTGAAAGTAATGCTTGAGGATGTTTGTTAAGGGGTTATAGTCCACGTGGTGTATGCGTGATATGGGTGAGAATTGTGTGTGAGGGGTAGTTACAGGAAAAATTAGTATATATTGTTGAGATTTAACGAGGAGAGTTAAGCGTTTTTAAGAGTAAACAATGGAGGTCCTAGCTCCTCAAAATGCTAGGACTATCCGGCTACTGCTCTTTTTCATTTTCTTTCAATTGTGATTTCCAGATTGTTTGATTTATACGATGTGAGGATTATCAGAATTGTTTGTTTCAGCTTCAGTTCTTGTATTTGGCTGTGTGTTGAATTGATTTGCAGTTGTTCTATCAGTTTATAACTTCTTTTTTGTATTTTTGATCTATTTTTGTAATAAACATGAGTGACATATAATATTACAAATCACCTGCTATACATCTGTCAATCCACGAAGGGTGCGATACATGGCCTCCTCAATTCGTGGACCAGTAATGGTAGTTTTATACATCATCAAGAGCCATTAATTATATCTGCTCCAATTTCTGTCTGCAGGATCATAGGAGAAGAGAAGACACACGCATAAACACTTAAGAGAAAAAAGTTGACTGCATGTAAACTTTTGTAATATTTATCCCATGAGAATAACAGTTGCACCTTTTTCAAATTTCACTTGATGCCATACAGCAAGGATTGGAAGAAAAGCTACTTTAGAAAACAGAAGAGAGCATAGACAGTGTATTCAAAAGACTTTTGTGCAGAACCATGTTCACAGAGAGGGCAATTGTATATATAAGAACAAAAATCAATGACAAGCAACAAATTAAGGCATCTTCAAAATGGTCGAACTTGGTACATCTATACTTTTTTTCTTTTTACAGCAAAATGATGTTTAATTAATGGGATGTAACAAAATACTCCAAGTTAGAAATTAGATTCAAGGAGTGCCTATATTGGTGGTATCAAAATGGAGTACTCCATTGTAATGATAAGATCTGCAAGACCATATATAGTGATTTAAACGATACTTAAAATTATATGAGAGTACTCCATTTTGATACCACCAATATATATAAAAAAGTTGCAAAACCATGGCTTTCTGTCAACTGGCGACAAAACAGTATAGTTGAATTCAGATAACAAGAGATGCACAATAGAAAAATTCAGATTTACATTAAAAAAGTTGCAAAACAAGCAAACACACATAAACAGATGTACCTACTTGAATTTGAATTGATTCCTCAGGTGTTAAGAGCATTGGCTTTCCGTCAACGGCGACTGAATTAAGAAAGAAAGTATCAATTTAAACATGAATTAGCAACATAATCCAATTCTTCGAAAAGCTGGGAGCAAGAATAAATTAAA